TTATTTGTTGTTGATTATTCTCGCTATATGTAGATATACCCTATGACTCGCAAATTTGATGTATTTGAATTCTTTAAACAATTTATCTCTATGGTCAAATGCCAATTCAATTCTAAGGTTAAAAATGTCCAAACAGATTAGGGAGGTGAACATAGAAACCTTTCATCATACTTTACCAGCATGGGCATTATTCATCGGTTATCAAGTCCACATACCCATGAACAAAATCGGTTTTTTGAGAGATGTAACAAACATGTGCTTGAAACTGGTCTTACACTTTTGGCACAAGGTAATGCTCCACACCACTTTTGGCATTATGCATTTCACATTACAGTCTTTCTTATCAATCGTATTGCATCTCGAGTATGACAACCTATCTCTCCCTATAAACACTTGTTACAAAAACAAACTAGTTATCTCTTCTTAAAAGTGTTCGGATGTTAATGCTCCCCATACCAACGATCATATAATACTCAAAAACTTGATTTTTCGCTCGACCCATTATGTATTTCTTGGCTATAGTTCTACATACCATGGGTACCGTTGTCTTGATCTTAAAGCAAACTGATTATACATTGCTTGTCATGTCCAGTTCAATGAATCAGTCTTTCCCTTCCTAATCATGACCAACCCTACACCCACACCATCCACGTCTAAACATACTTCCAAACCTTATACTAATTCCCCTCCTTCATTCCCTTCTCTTGATCTAGATTATCAACAAGGTGAAATCTATCTTAATACTAGTTCATCTCCTACCTCACCCAATGATGAGCCGTCTTCCCTACCTACAAACCCTCCAACCTCACCCTCGGCATCAACACCACCCCAGCCACTCGTACTCATCCAATGAATCTTCGCTCAAATCCAAAACGAAATTTAGTCTTTGACCCATCTACAAATCTCAGCACCACCACTACCCCATCTCCAAACAATGAGCCCACCTAATTCACAGTTGATAACAAACATGTTGAGTGGCGTAGAGCAATACAAGAGGAGTTCTCTACCGTAATGTGAAAGGACAATTGGACGCTTGTCCCCTAAACTGAAAAACATAATATTGTCGACTTTAAATGGGTTTATAGCATAAAATGCAAGGCTGATAGCACCAACAAGCAATACAAAGCACGCCTTGTTGGGAAGGGTTTTCACCAATAACCGGGTATTGGCTACGATGAGACATTTAGACCCGTAGTTAAGCCCATGACCATTTAAACAGTTCTCTCTCTAGCTGTCTCAGAACGATGGAACTTGAGACAACTTGATGTTTAGAATGGGTTTCTCCATAGGCATCTTATAAAGACCATTTTTATGAAACAATCTCCAAGCTTTGTTGACCCTGCACATCCAACGCACTTATATTGCCTCAAGCGTTCATTGTATGGCCTAGAACAGACTCCAAGAGCCTGCTTCCATCAACTCTCTCAAGCTCTAATGACACTTGGATTTGTTGTCTCCAAAACTGAGTCGTCTTTGTTTATGTATTCTCAGGGGCCTACCTTACTGTACATCCTTATATATGTTGATGACATAATTGTCACTGCAAATTGTTTGACTATGATTGATCAAATCATGACCACACTTGGTACAGAATTTTCATAAAAGCATTTGGGCAACTACATTACTTTCTCGATATTGAGGTCATTACTCACGGCTCAACTATTGTTGTTTCTCAACAACAATATATTGGTGACCTCTTGCATCGAGCTGATCTTTCTGATGCAAATCCTACACCATTACCCATGCTCCCCTCCGTTCACTTATGCCGTGAATATGGTTCTCCACTTGATGACCCAACAAATACCAACAAATTGTAGGGGTATTGTAATATGTTACTCTCTCTCACCCTGATATTGCTTATGTTGTTAATAAGGGATGCGAATCCATGCATGCACCTGCAGATGTTCATTAGGCTACGGATAAACATATTTTGTGATATCTTCATGGCACAAGTTCTCATGGTCTTCTTATTCGTTGCAACTCAAGTTTGACTCTCTATGCATTCACAGACTCCAAAACCGTTCATGCTTTCTCATATGCGAATTATGTTGCATGCCCTGATGATCGATAGTCAACCGAAGGCTTTGCCATCTTTCTCAGATCAAACTTGATCTCATGGTCATTAACAAAACAAAAAACTGCCTCCCATTCCTCTACAAAATCCGAGTATAAAGCACTCGTTGATATTGTAGCTGAACTCACGTGGCTTCAGGCACTTTTAAGAGAACTTGGTGTCAAAACAACTACTCCTCCTACTTTCTAGTGTGATAACTTAGCTGCTAGATACTTATCTGCCAATCCTATTTTTCATGCTCATACCAAGCATGTTGAAATTGATTTTCACTTTGTTCGGGAGAAGGTTGCCGCAAGATAACTAAAAGTCCAATTCATATCAACTGATGACCAACTTGTAGATATCTTTACTAAGCCTTTGTCCACACCACGGTTCCTTTCTCTCAAGGACAAGCTTTAGGTTGTTTTCGACACTTAGCTTGTGGGGGTGTATCAATCTATGTAACTATAAGTAGTTTTTAATTTATGTTTAGTCTAAGGGACTATATGCAAATACATCCCCTATATATGTATATTTCCTGATTACGTTGAATATAAGAAATTATCCTTTCCTTAGTTGTGGTTTGATAAGGTTGATCGGTGTCGAACAAGGTTGGCCAAGAGATTTTGGAAGCTCTGTGCAATTTAACAAAAAATACACCCTACAACTTGAAAGATCTAAAAGTTTAAGCAAAAAAGTATAAATTTTCATTTCAACTGCAAAATACATAAAATTAAAATTTCATTTAAAATAATACACAATTTTTTTTGCTTATACTTGAAAACAGTTATCATCATAATATTCATTGAAATAAATTTTTTAATAACATTTTCATAATTAAGTAACTTTATCTAGAGTGGTGCCCTCAATCATCATCAAAGTCAATCCATTAAGTTGTTCTTGGGTAAATATAGATCGTAAGTATGATTTCAAAATCTTCAATTCGGAAAAACTCTGTTCTATAATGCTAAAAAAATCAAATTTCATTTCAAGTATGCAAGATATATTTATTTTATTATCACAAAAAAAAAAAACATCGATAGACTTCTAATAAAAAAATTCAGAAATCAGAAAATTGCCTTGTGATTGCGACAATTCAAATCAATAAGAAAGAGTATTAAATCTATAAAAAATCAAAATTGAATCAACAAGATATATTTCATAATCACGAAAAAGAACATTGATATGCTTCTAATAAAAGAATTCCAAAAATTAGAACATTAATACATTATCTACGGATTTTCAACTCTTCAAAAAATCTGAAATCATGAAAAAAAAAAAACACCGATTTACTTCTTACAAATAAGAATCAAATCATTTATCAGAAAAGAAAAAAAACATAACTAAAGTTACTTATACCTTAAAATTTAAGAAATTGATTTCCTCATTTACTTGTTCTTTTGATTTCCGAAACTACTTTCTTTATTCTTCTAATTTTGGAAATTGATTAGAGAAAAATTGAAGAAAGAAGAAATGAAGAACGATTGAACTTAACTTATTAGAGAAGGAAGAAGAAGTGTAGAAAGATTTTGGAATATGATTTTTGAAATTGGTTGTTGTCTTCAAAAATTTCGAGAGAAAAAGATAGAATTAACTGGTAAGATTGTTGATAGGCTGATTAGAGAGAGATTTAATCTGTTACCAATGCATTATCAACGAAGATGAAGGAATCAAGATGTGTTTGCTCTTCCCGAAAATTTTGATTTTCCCGCTCCGTCATCTATTGCTTCGCCTGATACTTACAAGAGAAACCTAATTTGTTTTTCGGTCTTTAACGGTACATAATATAGTATAATTGCTAAAAATAAATTAGGCCTTATGATTTTTTGGATCATGTTCATAGACACTTTTTGAATTGTTTGTAGGCTGGCTTTGGTGCCGAAAATCAACATGTCATAAACATATAAATTATCAGTAATCATATAATTAAACCGCTATAAACACATTTTTATGATAGGTCTAACTTGAAACCATATGACAAAATACCCTCGTAAAACTAATGATGCTATTTTTTTGGATGTTTACTAATGATGCTATTTTTTTGGATGTTTGTTTCAACAAATATAATGATTTGATAAGTTTACACATTTTATGCTTGTTACCGGGCATAACAAAATCTTCCGATTGTTTTATATATATATATATATATATATATATATATATATATATATATATATATATATATATATATATATATATATATATATATATATATATATATATAAAAATTTCATCAACTTTGATTCAAAAGCTACTCTTGAAGAACGCTAATTATCGTGATTGTTATATATCGGCATTTGATAATTACACGTGTAGTATTTACATATTGCCACTCCGTCCTTCTAGGTAAGCTTTCCCGGTGGCTGTAGGCACGACCTTCACAGGTTACAATGATTGGACATCATTTATTCACAGCCTTATTAATTAGTATTGTACTATTTCGTAGGCAAACAACAAAAAACGACTTTTTCTTGTATCATGAGTTCATGACTCCCCATATGAAATTTCGTGGTGCTACGAATGACCATGTCGATCATAGATAATTGCCATTTCCCGATTTTAAAATACAAAATTGCTGGCGACAAACATCACTAAATCATAATAAAAAAATTCCTAGATGCAAGAAAGTCAAAACTCCAAGGAGCATGCCTAAGAGAGTGACATCTTTACTGACTATTTCGGTAATTCAGCATGCGTGCCATGAATAACACCATAGATTTGGATTTACTTAGCTGCCAAGCAATCGAAAGGCTGCTTAAATCTTCAAAACGGGTAGACTATTACGTTTTTGTAATGACTTTTCTCCTTTTGTAATATGAAACAAGTATCTGATCATGTCGAAAACTCTTCTGGTTCAGGTAGGAACAAGGGAAAGCAATCAGCCTCCGTCTGTGGTGGTCCAGTTAAGAAGATCAGAAGGGTGAAACAAAACAATCCATTGAAATTTATGTTTCCATTTTCTCTTGATGACAACCCTGAATCATCTATCGCAACCCCATCAAAGAAGAATCAAGAGATGATCTCTTTCAGTAATGGAGAGGATGAATATGATCACCGGAAAAACCAGGTGCAGCCTGTGGCAAAGCTATATAGAGGGGTGAGGCAACGACAATGGGGTAAATGGGTAGGAGAAATACGTCTTCCTCGTAGCAGGAATAGACGTTGGTTGGGAACATTTGAGACTGCTGTTGAAGCTGCTTTGGCGTATGATCATGAGGCTTTCAAGTTGAGAGGACATAAAGCCCGACTCAATTTCCCACATCTGTTCATCAACGATCAAAAACAAACCCCACTTCCATCTTTACCATCTGATCAGTCTTTGCAACCATGCAAAGAAGAAGATGTCGAGCCTTTGGTCAATGGGTTGGAACCAAGTTCAAGAAACGATGAAGTTCTGAATGGTTTTGGAACGAATGATAGCTTGTTCGAATATGGTGAACCAACATGGGAAGCCATGGGACCCAAAGGTGGTAGCTTTATATGGGATGACTTTGAGCCCAATTTTTTGAGTCCGTGATAGCTTGATTAATATGCGTATATATATATATATATATGGTTTCTTTATATAACTGAAATCTTAAATATTAAACCATATGAGCTGCGATTCTACCTCATTTTCATGAGAGTAGACTCCTAGAACATCGTCAGCCTACAAATTTATTACTTAGGTATCTTTTGACTCTTGGAACTTTTTATTTAATTGATCATAACATGGGTACTAGTTGGTTCATATCTGAACCAAGCTTGAGCCTACACGTACGGTTTACTTGTAAATTTACATATTTACGAGGATATGATTTTCAACTGCTTTATCGTTATATTTTACGTCCAGTAAGGTTTTTGTGGTGAAATGTTGTGATGTTTGCTTGGTGAAACGTAATTTAACCTTAATAAATACTATAAAGACAATAGTTTTATATTTACAGTTGGTTCCTTATATTACATGATGCTAAGATGTTGATCACACTCGTGATAGGCGAATCAACGAATGTTGTTATTTGTTGGCATTGATTGTAGGAACTATTGATGGTTGCGTCCATACTGAATGCCTTAGATTCTGAGGATCACAACTACGTACTGAATCTCGTATTCTACTAGTAATGATGACGAGTTCCGTCAACTTTTAATATCTATGTTTTTGACAACTCATTGGTAATTTATTGATGTTGGGAGTTATGGGAGATACTCATTGGTATATTTAAAATCCTTTTTTGCGTATTCTTTATAAGATAAGGGAGCAGGTGCTCAGTTTGAAATATTTCTTTACCTTTCCGTGAATCATGTTAATCTATGACAATCTTGACAAAATTTTAACATTCCACGCATTGTGCGGGTTCTTTTCAGTGATAGATCCGAAAATGCCCGTTGATGTCTTATTAGAACACCATCACAAACACAACCAATACATTCCAAAAGAATCGGTATTTGCATATCTTTAACTTTTGCTATGAACCTCCTCTACCAATCCCAAACTAAAAAGAAGAAAGGAAGGAAAAAAATAGAACTTGTAACTTGTTGCCCGTAGTTCAAACTATAACTATCACTACAAGAAACGAGACCTATAGGGACGACAAACTATAACTATCACTACATGAACAAATTTCATCCGAGTTTCCAGTTTTGGATGCCACAATCACACCATGGTTGGAAGCTATATCAAGAGTGATAGGAACAGTGATGATGCAAGAACCATTACAGATGCATCAAAACATGGAAACACATCACCAGTCATGATGAATAGCCCACCTGGAGATGATTATATTTTCAAAATCTTGTCTAAAACATGGAAGATTAAAAAATCTTGTCTCGTGTAACTAAAACAGGAGAGGGTATATGTTTTTTCCTTATGAGGCTAACCATTGAGGTGGAAACTTCATTTTCCGAGCTTTCATGGGGTAGTATATAAGATCCATCACTGCAGTTGTTTGCTACCTGATGAGCATAAATGTAATCCCATTAAAGCCAGTTGCTATTATGCAGCAGCAAGAATCAAACTTGAGGAATCTGATAACACAAAATAAAGACAAAGGCACTTGAAAGCATGAAAAAAAAAAGCGTTGTCATGTTTCGTTGTTTGACAAAGATATAGCAGTGGCATGCTTATCAACTCAAATGAGCAGCAAGGTACTCGATTTCTCCTATTTAATAGTGTTTACTAAGAAGATACAAATACAATCAAACCTATCTAGAGAAACTTGATGTGAGCCTGGAAACTGATGGTTCCCTCTAGCCTGAGAAAAAATTAAACATATTCTTATGCATATAATTTAATTTTCATTTATGAAACTGTAGAAAATAATATTTAATTACGTTATTACCCCTGCAGATAATTTTAGGGCTTGATAACAGAATTGTCGGAATCCATCTTGTTGATCTTGAGGAATACTGTCTCCTAAAATATCATCATTTGTCATCACCCCTTCTCTATCATGATTCTCCTCCTACAAATAAAAAAGTATTTGAACATCAATGATGTGAATAAAATCATAAAATTCCAAAAAAATTAAACAAGGGTAAAAACATATATTGAGCAGATCCACAGGAACTCCATCATCGTCTTCATCTGGTAATGCCTCTCCATTTAGATCAAATTCAGAAGATCTTTTCCACTCAGGGGTAGAGGGGCAAGTGATCATATGGTTTTCTTTTATGGTAAAAAGCAAACAAGGCATCAATATAATATGGTTTATATATCCCTGGAGGGCGTGCTTTGGAAAATATTTTTAATTCCTGTGTAATTTATACATAGCTGGTGTAAGTTTATAAGTTATAACTAACATGATATGAATTTAAAAGCAATAAAATAACTGACCTGAGTTACAGACATTGGTATTGTTCTCATGAGATAATGAATAATCATATATCATGTACGATTATGCCCACGGGTGCAATGAACAAGTCAAGCCAGAAATTGAGAAACCTGGTGAGGATTGAAGGGTAAAATGGTCATTTTAAGGATAGAAGGAAGTTGTGTGCAATGATATTAAGAATAACTTTTTTCGCATACTCTTGTGCAATTTGGCCAGCTAAATTCCTACAGAGATGAAAACAGAGTCAATATATGGACATTTGTTTTCTTGCTTATGGATGTACCTTTTGGTAAATGAACACCCTAGCCCTACCTCCCTACAAACAAAATAAAAAACATACAAACTTTTCTATAGGAAAACACAAACAGAATGCTCAAACTGAAAATTTCTTAGGCTAAATTCATCCAGCTCCGCTTTCTCTTCTAGTGAAGATGTAACTTATCATAGTCTATAACTTTTTAGAAGATTACCGAGTTGTACATACAACAAATTGACATGATTTCAGCTAACTTGTTTACATCATAGAGTCATCGAGATTTGTAAAAACAAAGATGAGGTTCAACAATGATATAACTTACCTTGAATTTTGGTATGGTGTAAGATAAGCTTCCGACATAAGCCATTTGAACATACAATAACCTTGCTGCAGCCAAAGAAACCGCACAGAGCAAAATTGAAAACAAATGTCTATCGAATTTGAGTTTGTCGTCGTCATCATCGTGAACCTATATCCCAATTCTAGTTTCAAATACATAATTGCGAACATATACCTCAATTATAGGTTCAAACAGAGAATTACTAACCTGGTGGCCAATGTAGGGCTTGTATTCGATCGTAATCGTAACCGGATATGAAAAGGAAGCCGATAGTCAGAATCGGCGGCATTGAAATTAATCGACGTTGTTAAGCCTAATGGTGGTGTTCGACAACTAACATGAGAATCCATCAAGAGAAGAAGAAGATGCATGGGGAGTGGGAGGTGAGGAAGTCACCAGAGGAGAAGATAATGGTTGAAATTAGGGAAGCGAGAATCTCCGATCGAGAGTGAGAGAGAGATAGAGACTAATGATTGAGTGTGCGTGAACGAAACAAAGCAGGTTGTGCTCCTAATTTAAGTCGTAGAAAGCTATGGGGATGACTAGTCGTCCCTATAGCTTTCCCCAAAACGCGCCTAATCCAGTTTCCTTCCCGCTTTAACATGTTGAGATCGCTGTAGCTGCAAAAGTCAAAAAAAAAATTGTCAACCATACGGAGACGATATGTCGTCCCTATACGGTGTCTATAGGGACGACATATGTCGTCCCTGTAAACCTGGTCTCTATAGTTGCTTATTGTTGTAGTGTATTAAAAAAAATATGTTGTGTGAGCTCAGTCCTAAGTAATTCTTTCTGCATACATCAAGAGATAATTAAATTAAAACAATTTCTGATATATAAAAAAACCTAAAATGTGCCAAAAAGGAGAAGCCACCATGAAGCTTCACCGCCCACCACTACGGTTGACCGATCGAATTAGGTTGAGGGTTGTTTGCTTTGTTGTCCTTTTTGATAACTCTTTCGCTCCATGGAACAATGAGATGAGAAGACATTAACACTTAACGTGCATTTAGTTCACCAAAGTTCGTATGAAGAAGCTATGAATTTTTTAAGTTTTACGAAATGCGTCAGGCGCAAAAAGGTTGCAACGCACGCACATGCTTTGAGAAGGGGTACGATGCACCAGCAGGAAACAAACACGTGTCAGACAAGCACTGGAGCTATGTCGCAATGGCGAAACACGTACCTTCCTTGTGCGGCACACTTCTAGTATGTATAGAGTGTTGTTGTTGCTTTCATTCCTCACAATCCACCTCCATTTCTTTATTCTCTATCGATTTCTTCTATTTTTCCCTCGAAATTCCTTCTAAAATCCTTAAGAAATCCTTAGTTTATTATTATTATTATTATTATTATTATTATAGTCTCAAGTCCAGCCGATCCCGAGGCGATCATCAAATCCCAAGTCTCGATTCTACTCGACATCAACGGTATCACGCTTCAAAAGGTGAGTTTGACTATCCCTTTTTCCATTGTTTTATAAAATATAGGGGAGATACATACTATAAAACCACTTTATCGATTTTACAATATGTTGTTATTTGTAACATATTAGAAGTTTATGTGATAACTAAGTTGGGATAACATACCGATAAAAACTCTGCCTAGTCTTAAGTATGGTATGATGTCCAGTTGTTATGCTACCCGATATACTAGGAAAAAATTGTACATATTTGTTATACTATTCGTTTTAACTAAGATAACATAGCACTTATGTAGCACCCGGTTCCTGGTATGTATCTCATTCAAGTATTTTTTTCACATTTTGGCATGGACTCGGCAAGTTGAAGGCCTAACTCGTCGAGTAGAAGCGACTTGGACCTGGGGGGATAAGTGGCAGACCCATCGAGTCGGAAGCAAGACTCGACGAGTAGACCCTGTCTGGACAAAACCCTAATCTAAGGGTTTGCACCCTATTTAAACGACCTTATACAGCCTCCATCGCCCCTTTGTGCTCCTAGAACACTCCATACAGAAACCTAATCGTGTTGTGAAGATCTAAAGGCTTTTTGTTGATTCTTGAAGGTTTGTGGTGGCAAGAAGGAAGGAAAAGCTTGAGGAACTAAGAGGTTGGCCAGAGGAGTCAAGCTTCTTCATCATCTACAGTTCTTGGAAGGTATAAAGTCGACACCTTGCTTCTTCTTGCATTAGATCCCTTTTGGGGAGATTAGGGCTTTTATAAGCCATTTTTGGTGACCAACCATGATTGCAAGCATGGTTGGGGGTTAAGGCTTCAAATCCAGGCTCCTTAAGGAGTTAGAAGGCAGAAAGGGACTGCCTTTGCACCCATGGAAAGCCCCATGCAACTTAAGAGCTTCTTTTAGGATCATTTTAGCTCAAAGTCCCATGCATGCACGTAAAGTTCGTTACTTTACGTGCTAGATCGATCTTAGGAACCTAGATCTATCATTTGGACAAGTTTTGTACATCAGAAATCAGGAAATGAGACTTGGACAACCTCGACTCGGCGAGTTGTTCTTGGGACTCGGCGAGTCCGAGGCTTGACTCCCCTTTTCTGTTAGGATTCAAAGGAAACCAGTTAAGCGTTAGAAGGATTTTAGAGGGTCCAAGGGAGTAAAGCAACGTTTTGGACTTAGCCATAGACCTAGAGTTCATAGGACTCGACGAGTACATGAGCATACTCACCGAGTCTAAGGCCATCTCCCAACAAATGAAGATAAACTCGACGAGTTGTTCATACAACTCGGCGAATCAAGGTCAGGACTTGTTCAACAATTGAAGGTGAACTCGGCGAATTGTTCATACAACTCGTCGAGTCGGATGAAGGATCATGTAAGCTTCGTAAAGAAGGAGAACTCATCGATTCGTTGCTAAACTCGATGAGTAGAAGCGTGACTGAGGGCAGTTGAAACGATAGGGACTCAAAGAGTTGGCGGATTCAAAGGAAACCAGTTAAGCGTTAGAAGGATTTTAGAGGGTCCAAGGGAGTAAAGCAACGTTTTGGACTTAGCCATAGACCTAGAGTTCATAGGACTCGACGAGTACATGAGCATACTCACCGAGTCTAAGGCCATCTCCCAACAAATGAAGATAAACTCGACGAGTTGTTCATACAACTCGGCGAATCAAGGTCAGGACTTGTTCAACAATTGAAGGTGAACTCGGAGAATTGTTCATACAACTCGTCGAGTCGGATGAAGGATCATGTAAGCTTCGTAAAGAAGGAGAACTCATCGATTCGTTGCTAAACTCGATGAGTAGAAGCGTGACTGAGGGCAGTTGAAACGATAGGGACTCAAAGAGTTGGCGGCCCAACTCGGCGAGTCAGGTCAACTGAAAGTTGACTTTGACTTTGACTTGGTTAGGGGTAAAATAGTCATTTACCCTAAGAGTAGTTATCAGTGTCTGATTAAGCGTTTTATGGATTTATAGCCGGAGGATCACCGGAGCAGCAGTCAAACATCTGTCGAGCAGCTTTTCAGCGGTCAGCCTTAAGAGGTGAGTTACCTTCCAGTAGCTGTGGGTCTAAGGCACCAAGATTGGCCCACCAATAGGAGTCGTATGTTAGATGACTGTCTTTGTGATATTCATCTACATATGCTACTACCTGATATGTTATGTGCTAGTATGATATGATGTTATATGCTAGTAGTAGTAGGGGAGACAGTCCCAAAGATTTCTGATTGATAGGGCCAAAGGGGGTAATCATACCCAGTCATACTAGATAGAATACGATTATGTGTTAAATGTTATGTGGTAGTAGTAGTAGAGGGGTGAAATAGTCCTTGGTATCCGGTCGAGAGGAACGAAGCGGAGGCCAGCACCCAGATATGCTAGGTAGCATCCAGTCGAGAGGACTGAATGGGAGGCTAGCACCCAGATATGCTAGGTAGTATCCGGTCGAGAGGATAGAAGCGCAGGCCAGCACCCAGATATGCTAGGCAGTATCCGGTCGAGAGGGCTGAAGGGGTAGGTCGGGCACCCAGATATGTCTGACAGTATATGCATGTTATGTGATTATATGGTATGTGGTACGTTGGGGGAACTCACTAAGCTTCGTTCTTATAGTTTTTAGTTTTGTTTCAGGTACCTCTTCAGCAAGGAGGAAGGAGCTGGCGCAGTACCTACACATCATACACACACGTTTGGTTTCCGCATTATGAAATTCTTGGGATTGTACTCTGACATTGATATATTTATGATTTGGTTTTAGACATGAGATATTATCTTTATGAAATGATATGTCTTCGTTATGTTTTCTTATGGAAGTTTATAACTCAATTAAATAAAATAAGAAATGAAAATAAAAATTTTGGACTCGAAAATTGGGATGTTACAACTTAGAAGTCATGTTTGACAAGTTTTAGGATTTGCATTGGCCTTAGTTGTTTGTATGCTCTAATATCATGTTTTCAAATCAACCATAATTGCGGTGTGTGTGTATATATATATATATATATATATATATATATATATATATATATATATATATATAGACACACACACACAAAGATAATTATGCGATATATAAATTCTAATTATCAAATATAACGTATAAGAATTTTATTGTGATAATTATAGGAATTATTAAGTAAGAAAGTTAAAGAAAATATAAAATACATAAGTTTAATGTGTTGGTGAACTTTATTATTCATCCTTAGTCTGATTAAAATCGGCTACTCCAAACCAATAAACCTATGAAAGATATCAAAGTAAAGATAACATATATACACACACACACACACACACACACACACACACACACACAAACGTGTGTTGTGATATGTTATAGACGGTATTGCTGAGATTGTCAGTGGGTTTAGTGTAAATGCCCTCTCTTAATATCACAGTACAAAAATGGAAAGTAGATCATTAGTCGAAGTCCGGAAGGGATTCCAGGGACGAAGCTTCGACGATCTAGTTAGTGTTTGTTCCCAAAGAAGAGAAAGAATACCTAATGGAAAGAGAGTCCCCTTCTTCACGAGGAAGAATGATCCTTTTATACCTGGTTCCAGAGGCATGTGGACCTCAACTGATTCTGTTAGACATTTGTTCGTGCGGTGTGACGTGGTGGACTCCTACTATAAGATCCTTCATCACGTCCTTTTTGCATCCTCTCCTCATTGACTAGAGGAGGATCTTCCTGTTATTAAGGAGATCGTGGCTATCGTATGACGAGCACGTGGTACGCTTTGAATGGTCCCATGCTTGCTGGGATGTTATCCCTTGGTGAGGAGATTATAGCACTGCTTTGCACAATAACTGCCACGCCTATGTCTTTCGCGTTGGTAAAGGCCCGACTTTGGCTTTAGACTTGGTCCGACTGAGTTCAGCTCAAGCTAAGCTTGGTACTAGTTTTTACTTCTCTTTTTGACGTTCGCTCTGAGGGACACGTTAACAAGTCCCTTAGGCTTGTAAGCGTTTGCGTTAGCCTGATAGCATCGACGTTCGAGCCTATTTCTCAACACGTGTACGCCTGGGATTATTTCTAACTTGGAACGGGTTTTTGACAGTGCCGTCATCGTACGTTAGCCCCGAGAAAATAGGGACAGTTCATGCTACCAGTTCTGTCTTTAATGTCCCCCCCCCCTTCCAAGATCGATCATCCTTATTGTCCATTTATGTTTCTTCTGCCTTATCTTGGGTACTATACGAGTTTTCTTTCTCTATCATTTGTTTATTCTAGGCAATCGGTCGTCATGGTAGAGTACCTACTGTGGAGGAATTCTAGCTTCTGTAAAATTGTTTCGGTCTTACTGAAGAATGGTGTAATGATTCTAGAAAAATAGGTACCAATCCATGACTGCCCTCAAGGGAAGGTGGGAGTTCCAATCCCGTTATTCAAAGCGGGGTTGTGCTTGTCGACATCTGATTTCTTCAACATGATCGTGGACCACTATGGCTTCTCCGTCAACGAGTTGACTCTGAGCGTCGTTAATAAAATCGTTGGTTTTGAACTGATTTGTCGATCTTTGAGTTGTATCCCCACCTTCTGGGTTTTCAGTTACTTCTTTTGTTTGACTACGAATTCTGGTGTTCGTACTTTGGCAAAAAGGCGGCGCATTCATTAGCTAATCTCTAAACAAGACGTCCCGAAGAAATATTGGCAAAGGCAATGGCTCTGGGGTAACCGAGACCTTGTGGGCCATGGTATCTTAAAGCACGAGACTTCCCTAATCGCATTTCCAAATTGTTTGGGAGCAACCTAACCGTCGGCAAACGACTAGGCGGCATTACCGTTTTTGGAGAGAACTGGGAGGATTCCGTTCTCGCTGCGGCTGGTATGAGTGCCACCTGGCGAGCCCATGGGAAGATGGCTCAATTGTTCTTCATGAGATGCGGTATTCTTTTGTTTTTTCTTCCCTTCCCTTTCCCCCATCCCCCTTTTAAAAAAAAGGAAAGGGGAGGAGGAGCGGGGTATCTGATGAGTCCTTAAATTTAATTCTTATTTGTGCAGGTGTTGAAGCTGAGATTTCTTTGGAGATGGCCTTGCACGACCAGTATTAAGGTAGGCTCTATCATCAGGAGGTCGACCTTGTAGAGTATCTTCTCCCTCCCGTATTTGAAAGGCTTACGCGAGAGCTAGCTGGACTGCTCTCCGTGGAAGAGGGAAATGTTTGTTCTAGCGGGCTTGTGTTGCCTTCCCGGATCGTCCACTGAATTTTTTCCCTTCTTATTCATCTATGGGCGCACCAGCTGGGAGGGTTACTGCTCTTGTCCGGAAAAGGAGAAGTATGCGTGTGGTGCCGTCGTCGGATGAGGAGATAGAATCTGATGATGTGGGTCTTTTTCCTCACAAAGTGCACACGAATGTATCTATGCACATGCTTCTTGGAAACATTAGGGATGTTCTAGGCAACAAGTTCTCGGCGTCTGTGCAGAAAACTAAAGTGGTGATCCCGGATTCTACGACGTCACCTCCTCTATCATTTGTTACAGCCTCCCCGATTGATCTTAGTTCTGACTCCTCATTTGGGAGTGCACTGGGTTCACCCAGGGGTTCCATTCAGTCAACGAAGCCTTTAGCGGAGGGAAGAATAGGAACTGCTCCTAGCTCCTCATGTTCCAAAGCTTATGCCCCAGGTTGGGCAATTACTGGACATTCTTTACTGTCGAATGATATCAATACCCAGGAATGGAGTGTTTATGCTCATTTCCCAGCTACGATGAGATTTCTTGTGGGAAAATCCAGGTTTCAAGTTGTTGGTGACCTTTGTTATGCTACGGCCCAGGCTTCTTCTCTTATGGTTGCAGCCATCGAACGGGTTTGTCGTGTCAGGGTGACCAAAGCGCGGCTGAGGCCTTTGTGCAACACCATTCTCTCTGAATAGAATTGTGTTGTGGCCTACAAGAAAGCAATATTAGAGGAGCATGCGCTCACTCTGGAGGACCGAACAGAGCACCTTGAGGATCAAGTTAGCTTTCTGAACTGAGAAAAGAACGTGTTGGCGAATAAATTGGCCTTGTGCCAACATTAACTGGCTCGAGCTCGTGTTGATGGTGTCATTGCTAGAGGTGAATTACAATGGGTGGTAGAGAAAGGTGGTATGTGTGATCGACAAAGTCATTGAGAGCACTAAATTCACCAAAGGGGTCCAGGATGTTTGTGAGGCTTGTGAAGCACTTGGGATCGAGAAGGGGAGTCAACTGAGTGAGTGCTCCATGTATTCCAGTAAATCTAAAGTTCTAGGTCCTGGTCAAGTGGCGAGCAGAGCCAACCAACTCAACATTTCCCTTACGTCTTTTGTCAAGACAGATTTTGCTGGCCTCTTCCATTTAGGGGAGTTTGATTATGATGGCTTCCGCCAGTTTTGTGGCAAACGGAGCCCGGGAGGTTCTTCCTCAGACTCTGAGGGCTGATTTGTATATGCCCCTTGTTGGTTTTGAAATAGATATGCCTTCCCATGTACTGTTTGCAAGGTAAACGATTGTACATTTTGTCATGCATTGTCATGGAAGTGTTCTCTTCCTTTTTACTTTTGTTGTACGTGTGTGTATGTACATTTTGATTTTTTCTGTAATAAATTCAAGTTATGGTTGTTCGATGTTTCTATTGTGATTTGTTTTTTGTATACTTTCCCTTATTCTAGGGTTTACGTCGTATTGGCTAGTGTGCCACAAATGTCGCATGGCTACTACTATTGAGTTGTGCTTCGTTAATTCATTTGTTCAGCTAGGGTTAATGTGTTAAGCCACGAGACGTTAGCCACTAATGAGGATTGTACTGTATGGTTTAGCTGCCAATACATAGGCCTAGATTGTCACCTCGAGGCCTTATATTGTTATATTATCAGGGGAAAGGTTATGAACCTTTTAGAATCCCTTTTTCTTGTGCCTTTAATTGGACTCACACATAAGCGTACATGTGTGAGTCCTTAGCAACAAGGAATCAAATCCACCCTTTTTCTTCTTGTTATCAAAAAATGAGGTTTAAAGGGGTTAAATCCATATCTTTGATACTTAAATTTACATCTCAATTTTGGATTGGTTAGATAAGAATAATAAGAGATTCAACGATGGGAATCATAGTCACAGGGATCGCTCTATCAGCCACGATCCATGTTCTGAACGTTTCGTTCCCAATCATGGTATGTTATTATTCCGATCGTTGGCGAAAACGTACTTCGGTACAGAAACTCCAAGATCCCAGTGAATGGCAAAATTGATTGTTGGAACGTATTTTTAGTGACCAGAATTGGTACAATACGTGATTGGGATCACCAATTTTGCATTTTTGGAACGCCGATTTGTATCCTATTTCCACTGTTTTGTCTAATTGGTCCAATACAATAGTCTATTTCTTTGGTATTCCATCTGGATACTCGATTATTCACGCTCATAGCATGCGCATAAGCGATTTAATTAATTAAAAACATATTATTGTTATGTGTGTGAAATTGTTCAGTGATTTAGGGTTTTCGGACCTCAATAAGTTTGATTGAAACATGACTGAAACATGAAATTATTTAGTTATTTATGCGTGTGAAATTGTTCAGTGACTTAGAGTTTTTGGATTGATGTATTTATCAACCCATGATCCCCAAGATACCATAGATTTCCTAAAAGCTGGTGACACCTCAAGATAAGGCACAACATTATCTCCTTCCAGATAGTAATATACCATGTCATAGTCACAGTTGTTATCAGCAAGCTCAACAAATCATGTTATGATGGAATTAATACAAGCTCTTCTTGTTCGCATAGGACAAATTCATCCACAGGTCTGTTCTTTTTTCCTTTTTTACCCTTTTAGAACATACAACACCATGTAGACTTACCTTTTTCAAAATCAATTACAGGCTCTTATGTACGCTCTTCTTGTGGCCTATAAGTCAATAAGCAATCTGTGAAAAGTTGCAACTCAGGAAGTGGTTGAGAAAGTAAGGCAACACAGTGGCTTATTGGTGGATCAGATGAAATAATACCTTAATAATAATGAGTTAATGACTATTGATTAATTTGGGGTTTAGGGTTTTTAGTTGCATAATTCGTAGTGGCTGCACTCACTGGTTACTTTCATTCTATAGCTTGTGCAGCACATGCTATGGGTGTAGATGATAGCTTGCAAGTGAGTCATTATAAGAAAGGAATGGAATGGTTTATTCCATTGTTTTTTCATATATCTTTAATGTTTATGAGTTTACTTTTCTGATTTTTCTAGGACATCCTTTGTCTTCTCACTTTGTGGTTCAACCATGGAGCTACTGTTGATGTTTAAACAACACTAGAGAAAGGTTTTTCACATGTTAACATCAACACATGGTTGGTTGTTTTACCTTAGATCAGTGCAAGAATCCACTCAAATAATCATGATGTGAGAGAGTTGATACAATCTCTTATCGTTTACATAGGACAAAGCCATCTACATGTCTCTTCTTTTTTTCCTTTTTTACCATTTTAGAGCATAAAATACCATGTAGACTTACCTGTTTTAAAATCCACTTCAGGCTCTTATGTACCCTTTTCTTGTCGCCTGTAAGTCAATAATCAATTTGAGGAAGGTTGCAAGTCAGTAAATGGTTGACAAAGTGAGGCAACACAGTGGTCTGTTGGTCTATCATGCGAAATAATATCTTAATAATAATGAGTCAATGGCTATTGATTAATTTGGGGTTTAGGGTTTTTAACTGACAGCTAGATTTGTTTTACGTGAAGGCACAACTTGTGTCAAAGGAGTTGATTAGGTTTGCAATTCTCTGGCATGAAATGTGGCATGTGGCACTTGAAGAAGCTAGTTGGTTGTATTTTGGTGAACATAATATTCAGGGAATGCTTAAGATTTTAGAACCATTGCATGAACTGCTTGAAGAAGGTGCCATGAGAAACAAAACAGCCATAAAAGAGAAAGCTTTTATTTAGGTCAGTTCAGATATTCTTTTACATCATTTTATCAAAATTCACATGTTTTCAAAATATTATACTAAATGGTGTCTCTTGATAAAATTTCAGACATATCATCATGAGCTATCAGAAGTGTATGAGTGTTGCATGGAATATAAGAGAAATGGAAAAGACGCTAGGCTTACTCGGGTACACAATGAATCTTTATATCTCTATAATAATATCCAAGTGCATCATCTTGAATAACAGAATCTCATATCTTCATCATTTAAATGTGTTTTTTCTTAAGGCATGGGATATGTACTATCATGTCGTTAGAAGGATAGATAAGAAGGTTCAATCTTTTACAACTCTAGACCTGCAGGCAAGTAACTTATTTCATGCATTTTTTTAATGCCATTAAAGTTAAATTGTAGGGATAAATGCTAATCACATCAATGTAACTTATTTCATGTATTTACTTTTTTTGTGTCTTCTTTTTACAATATGAAGGAAGGAATACTCAAAGTTGGTGTTTGATTGTTTTCCTTTTGTGTAAATGTAGTCAGTTTCTCCAGAATTAGTAGAGTGCCGTGACTTAGAGCTTGTTGTTCCTGGAACTTATTGTGCAGGTATAATAATAATATTATATTATATATGATTTTAATTATGAGTAATATAATTTATTAATTATACATACATGTTTATATATATATATATATATATATATATATATATATATATATATATATATATATATATATATATATGTGCTGATTCACCGGTGGAATCTTTAGGTTCCATAAAAGCTTGATCTTGGGGACTCACAAGGGTGTGTTGTTCATCAGAGGGTTCAATTTTTAATTCCAATTCCATGATTGACCACATGAGTAATATTGTTTGATTCCGACACACTTTGATGTTCTACATAGTTTTCACAGTTATCATCTATAGTCTGAACTTCAGGCTCCTGGGGTGTAGCATTTTTATTAAGTAAATTTACAACTTTGACAGGATCATCAACCACAGAAACAAAAGATTCAGAAACTTTTGCTATTAGAGACATTGGGTAAGTGCAGGATCCTGCTAATATGATGGATAATAGAGATCCCATGAGGAAAGGTAATCTCATTTTGTTTATCAAAAATTATTTAAATATGATAGATGTAAAACATTCTGTAAATCCAGTTACGTAAGTAATGTATTTTTTGGTTTTAATTTAATCGATGATTTTAGTTTTTCTTAATATGTGTTGTTGATCATAGTAGGTAAGTAATATCCTTTCAAACATTAACTTTCCTTCTCACTTTTATCCCTATCACATCTTTAAAGATTACCCTTTTGCACATATTTCTCATACAACTGTCTGAATCTGAGTAATGACCATTTTACTCTTCTATTTAGAAACGATAAAACACCTTCTTTCCCACTTAACATATTACGTCACCTCTGGTAGTATTAAAAAGAAACACTATTGTTTGTTATGTGGACTGTCTGAATCTAAGTAAATGACTATTTTACCCTTCTATTTACAAAGAGGAGGGCATCAATAATATTGAGTATTCACAAAATGTGAGATGAATAAAATGTGTTGATGATAGGCCACTTTTACTTACAAGGTTTATATGGACAGAAGTCCTTTGGATGGATGAAGTCTTACCAGAGGCTGGTGTACAAGTTTTGGTTTCAAGGACATCATTACTATCTATCTATCTATGAGTGATGAGTTATTTATGTTTATAATTTGTTTAGTTGACTAGCTACTGATTAAAAATGTTGATGGGTTTAGTCTGCTTGTGTTGTTGTGAGTGAGTATGTTGCTAGTGCTTTTACCCATCTTCTTCTTGAAATATCTAGTTAGTCTGTCTCTAGATATGTATACGGATATATATATATATATATATATATATATATATATATATATATATATATATATATAAAGAAATTTTTTAATATGAACAAGGATAAAACTATAATGGTTTGGTTGGTTTTCTTTTCTGATTTGAACAGCCAGACACTGTCCTACAAATTCAAAAGGAAGATGGCACAGGCAATGAATATCCTTTGGGAGCTGCCCTTCAGGCCACCAAAAATACTTTGATTCAATATAGTACTAAACTCTTATTTGTAGATCATTTTGATTCCACTCTCATACATACCATGTGTATTATTAATTAGTTGATATTGATATTGATATTATACAACTGACATGATTATTATGTAGGATTTTCATGTTGTTTTTTTTTATCAAGAGTTAGGATTGATATTGAAGCTAAGAGAAATGATTATTGGTTGGATACATGAAGGGTTTTAGAGCTTCTTCAGACAGCTTAATGATGAGATACTGAAACAAGAAGGTGCCCCTTTATAGCAATGTAGTATTAGGGTATATAGTTAGGGAAAACCTCTTAATAACAATGTACAATCAGATCCCTTTAATATCAATGTATTACAATTTTTTGACATGATGTTATTGGATGAAATTGATTGTTTTGGTATATATTTTTTCTATATTTTTGTATTATGCGTAAAAGAGTATCGTAAAGGAACGTGGTATATGCATATCGTAAAAGGTTGCTGAAGTTTATGACAAGCAAATGTGTTTCATCTTCATTTATGACAAGGGCTTTAATGATACGCGATGCGTGTCCTAAACACGCATCGTAAGGTTACAACACGCAAATGTGTGTCGTCTTCCTTTATAACAAGGCCTTCATTGATACGCATTGCGTGTCGTAAATTAGCGTTGTAAATACGTGTCGTAACTGCGCGTCGTAAATAGACGATGTGCAAAAGCGTGTCGTCTTTCGTTACGATAGGGTCTTCATTGACACACATTTGTGTGTCGTCTAAGCATTTTATGACACGCATTACACATCGTAAAAGGTTGTTTTTCTAATAGTGAAATATCATATTAGTTTCATATTTGAGATTTAACTCTGATATAAACTGTAATAATCATATCTTTACACTTCCGAGCTTGTGAGAAGCATTAGGTATTACTTGGAATTTTACATAAATCATAACATAATGTAGTTTTTCTGATTTAATTAAGATATTGTTTAACTAAACAGTGAAAGTTAGGGTAATACAAAGAGCTTGTTTTGGTTAGCTAATTTAGGTAAAAGATATTATACTAGATTTTGTTAGTTTTTCTCAGTACCAACTTAGATAAAATGCATTCTGCATAACCAGATCTGAACTAATGGCATGATTAGGAAAGTCACAGCATAACTGAAATTGTTTTTATTATTGATTTCATTTAATTTATTTTCACTGCAAATTTTAAGTTTGTAGTATAATTTAAAAAAACAAAAAAACTTTTATATTTTATATTTCTTTGATGAGATTGTACTTGATGCAAAACTTCATTGACCGTTAGGCTCTGTCCCTGAGGATTCGATTTCGCTTTCATGTGCTATGTTTTAATGCAACCGAAAATGATTATTTTATTTGTATAATAAGCTCGTTATAGCGTATTAACATATATTGTTGCAAGTTGTAATAAAATGGTACATATGAGTTTTATAGCAAGTTATTGCTATGTGGAGTAATGAGTAGGTTTATTAGAGTTTATAGTTAAGTTATATTATGTGAGTTAAATAGTTAGCTTAGTTGTTTATTGTTGTGAGTTATGAGATGTTAGTGTAGCTATTTACTAGCTATGAGTTATAGGGAGTTAATGTAGTTGGGAATTTAGATATAGTTGGTTATTGTTGAAGTCTGTATCTAATAGTGGGAAAACACTATAGGTTGAGAATCGTTGGATCCAGAGTCGTGTTGAATAGTTGTAGTTGAATATAACTATTATTGTTCACAGTTGGTTATAGTCGATTATAACTATTGTCTTATATAATATTGAGTAGCTGAGTTGTGTTGAACAGTTGTAGCCAAATGTAATTGTCTATCTCGAGTAGCTAAGTCGTTTCGAATAGTTATCGTTGGATACAACTATTATTTTGTATACAGTTAATTTTACCCAATGACTATCATATTGTAGAAGTTAGATATATGAGTCGTGTAAACAAGTGGTTTAGCTTATGATCATCGTATTGTATAAGTTAAGTATCTAATCTGTTTCGAACAGTTATAGCCAAATATAATTTATATATCCAAGTGTTACTGAATAGTCATAGCTGAATATAACTGTCATAACTATTTATAGAAAAAAGCTGAGATTGTGTTATACTTTTTTATAGTTATAAGAAAAAAAAAATAAAAAAATAAAAAAATAAAAAAAAGTGGAGTGAATTACGTAACAAGTATATTGTGATGATTTAATAGTAACTTGAATAGTCGTAAATCTATTATATGATAATAGTAACTTTAATATTTGTATACTTGTTACTAGGAAACCTAAATGGTAATGCATAATATGTATTATACTCAGTTATTTGAAAGGCATTGCGAGATTCATTTATGTGTTAATGATGTGAATTTATATAAAATAGATACTAGCCGTTTATCCGCGCCAAGCGACGGGTGCGAATAGTTTTTACTCAAATTAATTTCTACAGCCGATTAATTCTTTTACGCAAATATTTTATTACATATAAACAAGTATGAATAATAGTCGTGCTAGTATAAATGAAATCAATAAGAATTAAATAAAAAGTTGTGATTCTTTACAAATGTATATATGAACACGTGATTGATTGTGTATTATTAATCGTGCAACACATTTTTATACATCACATTTTATGTATAGACTTCGCTGATATTTAAATGTTCGTCAGAGTTCACTCATATGCATTGGCACATAATATCCTTCTAGATAATGCTACATAAAATCGGTCATACGAAAAAAGCGATTCTGACTTGTCTTATTTTTCGATCGGGTTTCCTTGAAGCTCAGTTCTATCAGTCTTTTTTCGTTAGCTTTTTAGGTTTTAAATCACATTTTTTGGTTTAATGTGGTATTTGAGCTAATCTAGTTCACTCATATTGTTCAACTTTCGTCGTTGCATACAAGATTAATATTTTTCTCAACGCTTTGTTTCCTTTTAGTTGGCGTCGAATAAATTATTTTTGTATAATTATCATATTTACAAAAAACATAGTTTGTTGACAAATCTATTTAACATATATATATATATATATATATATATATATATATATATATATATATATATATATATATATATATATATATTTTGCCTTTCGGATTGTATAACTTTTATATATGCTAACTTTTATATATGCATCAATGCTAATCAAAGGTTCACAACATTTTTGATAAAAAAATATTATTATATTAATAAAAAATCAATAAATATATCTAAAATTAAAATTAAATCTCCCCATATAAAAACTATTAAAAAGGAAACTCATGAGTTAAATATATGACAAATCATGCAAACGAAAAAAGTTATATTAATCCGTCAATATCTTAGAATAGATCTTATAAATTAATAAATTAAATTTTTTTTTTTGAAACAGCAAAACGCATACTTTTAAATACGCACCCCAGGTTTGAGCTCTGCAAAGCGGGCAAACCCAGCCCCTGACACGATTTCTAGAGAAAATTCCCCCACAATGAGCATTTAAAAAGGATTTATGGAGTCCCAAAGTGGGGTTATAAAGTATTTGTAATCTAAATCTATATATAGATTTCATACATGACATTATTTTTTTATTTTTATTTTTGTAACTCCGAAAGTAAACAAAATTACAGCCACAAGATTTAACTTTTAGGCAGTTACAAACCCGTCTTATACACTTCAGCAAAGAAAATACGGCATGGTGCGGTGCCCTTCTTTTGCTCATAGAAACTTCAAAAAATTTAACCTGAGTTTCAGAAAAATAATGCCCCCTACGTATTCTTTTATTTCTTCTAGCACTGTCAAAAAAGAAAACAAACAAAAGATCATACATTGACATTAATTGTACAAGAGATACAAATATGGAAAAAAAACACCAAACGAACACACCACCACAACATTTTGAGGCTGAAGTAGGCACATATCAATCACCAAAAGATTATTGTGTACTACTTATTCATTTGAGAGTAAATTTCTAGACATGTAGCCATTTTATAAAATGGAGAATTACTTGTCTGGAAAATACTTGTGAACCATGGCAATATAACAACATATATATTAGAAGATCGTGGTCAATTACACAAAGAAATGATTGCATACCTTTGTCTTCTCTTTGTGATAAAATGCTTGCATGTGGTTCTCCAAAACCATGTTCCATATCAGTAAGTAGCACCTATTTGGAGGACAAAAACATCGTTTTTAATATGCGTTTAAAATAATAATGTCCCTCACATTAGATGATTACTCAACACCTTTAAACCAATCTTTATACTTTTATCCGGCCACAACCCCACTCTTGTAACAACTTCAACAAAAACTAAAAATTCATCTATATATGATTGAAAAACACAAAAACCAATACAACTAAGTCAATGAAAAGTTTAAAAGCAAGATAGAATGCAAAATAAATGTTAGCAATGAACAGATTGACCAATTTCGCCTGCATCTTTGACTGCAAAAACAAAGAAAATGAAAAGATTAAGGTCGGTAGTTACTAAAAAATACAACCTAGAAAAATTTAATTATTGAATAGAAGAAAAAAATCACTATATTATATCACGTTAATGCAGAAGAATCGAGATTCTTAAAAATACAACCTATCCATCAAGAACATCAAAAGGTTACTCCGTGAAATGGAATTATTAAACATTTGTGAAAACAGTAAAAAGGTTGTCCATAAACATTGAATTACAGAACTCCAAACTTATCACAACCCAAGTATGAATAACGTCATCAGGGGTAAGAAAGCACCATTAGGTACTTGTCGACATTTCAATATACCAATCTACTTTTGGGGGATCACCAATTATAGTAATGAAATTTCACTATTCCAACCACTTAAAAAAGCCCTCCTAGCCAAATATGCAAAAAAGCAGATAAATGAAAAGCGGCAGAGAGAACAAATCCTAATTTCGTTAAAGAGAAAAACGCGTAGATGTCAACCTCTTTTGATTTTGGAAACAAAGGAAAATCATCCAAGAAATTCAAAAAGAAAGGTTAGATAGAAAGGAATTAAAAATCAGGAAGATGAAGATTCACCAACATGTAGAACTTGCTGTCG